ACCTGCTCGATACCATGAGAAGAAACGAGGAATGAAAATGACTAAGGGAAAGTTGGGTACAAAATGCAAACCCTAGAAAACTGTACCCCATATGTGCTACCCCACTATAGCCTACAGTAGCTCTGTCATATAAATCTGACAGGTGGTAGGTTCCTTGGGGGAGGCGTGGCGAACAGCGACGGCGAGTCTGAGGATGCGGAGACCGGTTTCGTTGGTCTTTTCGAAGTGGAGGCGATCGTAGTCGTGGAAGCTGGTTACTTCGACGACGTCGTCGTCACTGTCGTTGCCGAGGCGGAGGGTGTCTTGTGAGGTGTTTGGTGGTAACTCGACATCCGGTGATCGGCGCGCTGCACTGTTGTAGTTGTGGGCTTCACGAGTTGTATCGTCAGGATCGAATTGGTGTACAGGTATGAATGTCGGAGTCTGGAATGGGCTTGTAAGGGGAATGTTGGGTGCGCTGTCAAATTGGGTGACATCTTCTGCATCAGCATCTTCTGCCAGGTCAGCTTCATCATGTGGAGTTGCGAAGCTGCGGTGTCCCTCAAAGATCCTTTCTGGTGCCCTGTCAGCTTCGCGGTGCTCCTTGAACAGTGGCTGAGTCAGCTTCTCGTAGACGATGCAGTCACGTGATTTTGTGACTTCGTGTGTTGCGTAGTCCAGCACGATCCACGCCTTGTATTTTTTTTCGATCCCGAGGTGGATGCCCCAGCGTGCCCGGTCAGCAAATTTTCCGGTCCTTGCTGTGTGTGGCCTGTAATGTACCATGCAGCCGAACACTCGAAGCAGACGTTTGCCCACTTTTCTGCCCGTCCAAGCCCTGTAGGGAGAGTTGTTGTTCTCGAGGCTTTGGGAGGACAGCAAGTTGTGCAGCCAGACTGCGTGGTTCATTGCAAATGGCCAGTATTTGGTTGGCATAGGTGACTGCTTCATCGGGGCCCTCATCCTTGTGGCGAGGCTCCTGTTTGTCCGTTTTTCTACACCTTGCTGCTCGTGAGCGTAGGGCAGGGACACCAGGTGCTCAATCCCCTTCTGCTTGAAGAGTTCCTTGAACTCAGTTGAGAAGAACTCCAAACCCCCATATGTCTGGTAGGTTTTCAGCTTCAGTCCAGACTGACGTTCAGCCCGCTTCATCCACGCTACGAAGCACTCAAAGGCGAGAGAGCGGCAGTTGGTGTTGACGGCCCAGACGTAGCGTGTGCATGCATCGATGAAGGTAAGCGTGTAGAACTCGCCGTTGAACCCAGTTTGGCTAAGAACCATGAAGTCGCTGTAGACTTAATCGAGCGGCTTGTAGCGTTCGTAGCCAAGGGGTAAATCGGGAAAGGGTTTGTGGGCGAGTGACGCAGTTGGGCACATGGTGCATGACGGGTTGGCTGATTCTGCTGTGAGGGAGCCTCCGTGAGGGAGGAGCAGCACGTCGTTGTCAAAGACACCAGCCTTGAGAGAGTTCTTGGGTGTGGTGTGTGAGGGGTGCCCGAGTCGCTGATGCCATGCTTCCGATTCCGCACGGTACCCGACTGTCTTTTGATAATACTTATGCCTTGCAGCTTCGTCGTTTTGTTGCTTTTCAGGTCCCGTGTCGGTTGCAGCGTCGGCGTCAACTGCAAAGGCTCGAACATAATTTCGTTCCAGGAGCACGCGGGGAATTCTGATGATGTCGTCGGTATCGCCGGCGTGAACTTTGTTCGCCGGTGACGAGCAAGGACGAAGATGGTGGCGCTTTGGGCCAATCGGAGACAGGAAGTCCTGTCATGGGAATGCGAAAGTAGCTGTATTCATCGCCGATGACTTCAATTTGCCGAGGCCCTTGTTCTGGCGACGGCGGCTCCTCGGTAGGTTCCGGTAGTTCCGCTGCTTCCCCGAAGAACTCATAAGTTACTTCTTCTTCTGACTCTTCTTGAACTGGTTCCGGTGTGTCAGAAGCGTACTGGTCCGGAAGAGGAGGGCCGCCCCAGCTAGTACCGCGAGTTGCCCAGTACGGATCGACTGCCGCAACTTCCGCAGGGGGAAGTCCTGGAGCATCCGGATAGGCAGGAGCTGATTGTCCCCATCCTCCTTCGGTTGAGGTTCCCCAGCCGCCTCTAGCGGCAACGCCTGCTTCCGTCGTGGTGGTGGCGCCGCCTTCTTCCGATGTTGGGATGGCATCCCATCTGCATGCGGCTGCTTCCTCTGGCGTTATAACTTCTCCCCATGGGCCAACTGGAGGGCCGGGACTCCCCCAGCCAGTTGCTTGAGTTGTTATGTTTTCTCCAGTGTCCGGTTCTCAGCAACTGCAGAACTTTCCACTGTCCTCCTCTTCTTCCACTGTTGCAGGTCCAATACCCCCTGGGTTGGAGGTCGAGGCAGTTGGGACGGTGTGCAGTCGCAGAAGACCATCGAAGGCGGGGCCGTTCAAGATCCATCTCTTCTGGGTGTGACCAAGCCATCGGCTCTGTGGGAGTTGTTTTCAGCAGAAGCGTTCGTTTAGAATCGTCAGTGGTGCCTTGAGCAATTTTTTTTCAAAACAAAGACCCCGTCATCATCGTCAGCTTTTCCGATTTAAGTATTTTTATAATAAAGTTCGAAGGTTTTGTCCTTGCAGTTGCTGCGAATGTCAACTCCACACCGCATGAGCTGTGCTGAAGAGAGTAGGTTGTATTGAAGATCAGGAGCAACCAGCACGTCGTCGATGTGAATAGTGAAGTGAGTGTCGTCGGCCTCAAGGCAAACTTCTCCGATGTCATATGTTTTGAGACGTCCGTTGTTGGCGACGGTAACTTCGCACGGCCGTCGCATGTGCCTTGAATTTTTAATGAATGTTGGAGATCCCACCATGTGTTGCCCACAGCAGCTGTCAAGATACCAGGATTTGATGCTCTCGCGATTGCGTCGCGCACTCCAAGCAATCTTTGGAGTGACGACGCGGTCGAAATCCCCGGTGTGCGGCGAGAGATCGATGTATCGCCTTGCGGAAATACTGGGAGGGGACTCCGGTGTTGGTGGAGGCAACTCAAAGTCAGGTGGGATATTTGTTGGACGATTAATCCAGCTATGAATGGTAGGATCATTGTCTGGACTGGGTGCGATGGGGTTAATGAGCGCGATAGGTGGGAATTCGGTGCCGTCATAGTATCGGATGCATCTGCGACGGCGCGCCATGCAGCTCATGATTGACCCCTTGCCTTTGTCCTTGGTTGAAATGCGTGCAGGAGTTAGTGAAGTGCTCGCAAAGGAAGGCGGCGATAAGGTGGCTGTTGCAGCAGGGGATGTCGAGGGTGCTGAGGACTGCTGGCCGGAGGAGTTGTTGCGTCTCTCGTCAGCGGCCTTTCGCTTGTAGCACCGATCGATAGTGTGGCCGGGTTTCTTACAGTACTTGCAGAATGTCCCTTTCTTTCCATGTTGCTCCCCTTCAGCCGCTCCAGTGAAGACCACTATTTTTTCCCTTTTGTTGTTCTTCTCATTGTACAGATCAATCTCCTTCTGCTCGGAGAGAAGCGTGGCACACAGGGCGGACTCGGAAATAGCTGCTCGAGCGCGGAGCAACGACTGACACTGACGCCGGTCGGGTCCAAGGCCAGAGAGAACCATGGAGACGAACATGTCGTCAAGAACGGTTCCGCCGCACTTCTTAATGTGGCTGCGCAGATTGTGGCACCGGTTGATATACGGTCCCGCTTTCTCCCCTTGTTGCATTTTAACCGATGTCAGTTGGCTAAGTAGGCGACTCATCGTAACGGGATCTGTTGCCATATGCAGGTGCTCCCAAGATGCATACGCAGGTGCCCATTCTGACTTGTAGGAGCGAATGCCGAGCTGCTCGGAGGGGGAGAGGTTTCGGAGAAGAGTGGTGTACGCGATGAGAGATTCGTGGTAGTATTGATGCTTCTCCTGGATGGTTCCTTCCGATGGGAAAGGTAGGCTTCCGTCGTAATACATCCAGACCTGAGCGGTTGTTGCGAGGAGTTTGAATTCGAAGCTCCATGTGTAGAATTCTTTGCCGTCGAATTGAGTTCAGGTCTTCAGCTTTGAAGTCAAAACGAATTTTGTCTGCAGAGTCGCGATTGTTTCTGGCTGTACTCGTTGTTGACTGTCTTGTGCAGGAGCTGAAGCTTGACAGTTGTCAAAGGTGAAAGACCTCTCGGAGTTGACGCGGCAGTCTTCCCCAGGGAGAGGGAGTCAAGAAACTCCTCTTGCGTAACTTGAGTCATCGATGCTCATAGCTTGATGGCTCTCAAGAGCGTTGATGCGGGCGACAAGCTGATCAACGAGAGCGGCGCTGACAGAGGTCACCGCTGATGGCGCAGTAGGCGTTGCTGGTGGTGGGCCCGGAGAATCTGCAGTGGCTTTTCCCTCGGGAGCCATTGTGATGCAGAGTTGTAGTAGTTTGTAATGAGTAACTTATAACGAGTTTGTTCTAGGAAGAACAAGAACTTGACAGGCCTTATAATCCACTCAGGCTCTCATACCATGTTGTGATAATGAAGGATTGTAGTGGATAGAATAAGTCTGCTAAGTCTAGGAGAAGACAATGGAGTCTCTGTAATGACCTTGTTAATATTAGTTGACAGAGAACAAGATGATGATAAGATAGGAGTACAAGGGTATAAGTAGCAATCATAGCTAGCCATGTACTCTGAGGGGTACATTCCCATATTAACTGAATTCCATTGCTACAGTAACCACGACTATTGCTCTTCTCGACAGTTACCAAGTTGCATTGCGTAACTACCAAGTGCGGTTACTAGTCGGTCAAGGGTCACGACCGTTGACTGTCTTCGACTGTTGACCTTCGGGTGACTCTCGATCTTCCGCATGCTCTATATGAGCTATTGCGGTACTGCTACAAACGCGTTGCTTCGTTTTGAAGTGACGCGTGAGTGCAGATCCTTCGGGAATGTTACTTTGACCTTTCGGTTATTCCAACAGAAGGAAAGGGAGAAGGAAAGTAAAACTGATAAAACTGCTTTTTATGGCGCTCTAGCAGCGCAGGTGTAGATACAGTCGCTGCAGCAGCGGGGCTAATGGATCTGGAGGAGCTGGGGTCGTGCGCTGCTGGGCGTGCTGCTGGGCGTGCATCGGCAGGGGCGCGCGCGTGCAGGGTAGTGGGGCTAAGCGAGTTCGCCGCTGCTGCATCAGCTGAGGCGCTAGGACAGGGACGTGCAGTGGCGCAGCGGGGCACCAAGTGCAGTGCTGAGTGCAGTGGGGTGTGCAGCACGCGTGGCAAGCCCCTGTCCCTCTACAACCCCCTCTGCGACCCGCCCTTCCCAGCATGGCTCAAGGTGGAAGCAAAGCAGCAGGCCAGGCGGTGGCAGGAGCGCGCAGGGAGGGGGGTTAACGGCGAGGGAGGCGAGATGCTGGTGTGGGAGCACTGGGAGGAAGCAGGGGTGGAGGGAGAAGGAGGGTTGGGGGGAGAGTGGGGGTTGGAGGGAGAAGTGGATGTGGCAGGTGACGGTAGTGATGGTGACGGTAGTGATGGTGACAGTAGTGATGGTGACGGTAGTGATGGTGACGGTAGTGATGGTGACAGGGGCAACAGTGCAGGAGCTAGTGCGGAGGAGGCAGAGGGTCAGCCGGGGAAGGGGCGGAGGAGAAGGAGCAGGAAGGTGATGTGGGTGGCGCCCAGGAGTCTAGAGGAGCTGAGAATGGTGCTGCTGACGTCAAGGCACGGAGGGAGCAGTGACGAGGGGATAGGAACAGACGAGGAGGGAGGAGCAGGTGGGAGCAGCAGCAAGGAGGAGCAGGGCGAGCAAAGTGCAGGAGGATCAGCAGCTATCCCTCGGGGCGATTGTGAGAGTGAGTGGGGCGAGGTGCGGCTGGTGGCGGGCAGCACGGCGGCGGGTGTGTATCCTGACCTCGCGCGCTGTGACGCCCTGGCGCGTATCACTCTCGTGGACGTCAAGGGACGGCCGGAGTTGCAACGCGTGGCGTGGGAGGCGGGGCCTGCTGGGGAGGACGATGAGGGGGGTGAGAGGGGAGGGGGTGGAGAGGGTGGAGAGGGTGAAGCAGCAGGGAAGGAGCGTGTGATGGGGATTAGGTTCGGTGCGTCTGTGACTCTATCGGATGTGATTGCAGTGCTGGAGGCCGTGTCGGGGAAGGTTGCCGCTGGTGGCTCTGCTGATGCAGACTACAGAGGCCTTGTCATCCACGGCTGGGATGACGCCAACGGGACAGCACCACCAGCAGCAGCAGCGGCGGCGGCGGCGGCGGCGGCAGCAGTTTTCTCGCGAGTGGCGGCACACGTGAGGAGGGTGGCGGGGCCGCATGTGCGCAACGCTGCCAGCATCGGGGGCAACCTTGTGCTGGCTGCGTCTCGCCGCGCCTTCCCCTCCAATGTTGCCACTCTGCTGCTGGCCCTCCATGCCTCTGTGCGCACCACCACTCCCTCCCCCACCCCCTCCCCCTCCACATCTCTCACATGCAGCCTGGGCTTCAGCAGGAGCGTGCTGGGTGCAGGCAACACAGCAGGCAGCGATGGGTGGGTGTGGAAGGACCTCCCACTTGAGGAATTTCTTCACCGCTCCGATCTCCCTCCCACCACTCTCCTGCAATCCGCCTTCCTGCCCTGCCCCGGGCCCTTTCCCCCCCCTTCCTCCTCGCCCTCCTCTACCGCTCCTCAGCTTGTGTTTGACTCCTTCCGCGCCTTTGCCCACCCCTCTGGCAACGCCTATGCGTATGTCAATGCTGCCTTCCTCCTCCACATTTCCCCCTCTTCCCTTCCACACCCTTCCTCCTCCTCCACCTCCTCCTCCTCTTCTTCTTCCCCTCCCCCGCCCCCCACCATCCTCTCCGCCCGCCTGGTCTTCGGCGCCTTCAACGGCCCGCACGCCATCAGAGCTCGCCGTGCCGAGGCCTGTCTGCTGGCACCCAATGGTGTGCTGACATGTGGTAGCATGCTGGCAGCGATAAGGGCGGTGAGGGAGGAGGTGGTGCCCGCTGAGGGCACGCAGTGGGTGCAGTACCGCGTGGAGGTGGCCGTGGGCTTCCTCTTCTCCTTCCTCTCCCGCCTCCTGCTGCACCCGTACCTGCCGCACCCCACCCTGCCCCACACCACCCTGCCCCACACCACCCTGCCCCACACCACCCTGCCCCACACCACCCTGCCCCACACCGACCTGCACCACCCGTGCCTGTCCCACACCAGCCTGCCCCAGGCGGACCTGCCAAGGAAGAGCATTGAGAATGGGGATGGCGCAGTGGGTGGCAGCAACACACGCTGCCCTGGGGAGGTTGGTGGCGCTGCTGGGGCTGATGGTGGCGCTTCTGCTGGTGCTGCCAGCACTGATGGAGCGCATGGCAGCAGCGGGCAGCAGCACGTGGTGATGAGGGGCCGGCAGGTGTTCAGCGTCACCACGGACGTCGCTCCTCTCGCCCTGCCCCTGCCCAAGCTGGGCGCCGACCTGCAGGCCACAGGTGTGCCTCTCTTCGTCACCTGTGCCGCCCACTGTTCTTCCCTCCACCTCTTTACTTTCTCCCCGAACGCCATCCGCCCTTGTCCATTCCCGCTCCACTCCCATCCCTTCACCCTCTCAGCCTCACCCCACACTTAACACACACTCTCACCCTCCTATCTCCCTTCGACCCTCTCCCGCTCTCCCCCCTCTCTCTCCCCAATCTCGCTCCTCTCCATGCTCTCTCTTCCCTCCACCGCCTCACCAGGCCATGCCAGGTATGTAGACGACATGCCAGCACCAGCCGCCTGTCTCTACGCCGCCTTTGCAGTGGCCACACACCCTTGTGCGCGCATCACTGCTCGCTGGTACGCCGCTGCACTCGCCTCCCCGGGGGTTGAGGCGGTACTGGACGCCTCGCACCTGCCACCCGGGGGTGCCAACGTTGCCTCACTGCTTGTGGGGGCCGCGGACACACTGTTTGCTCACGACAGCACGGAGTTTCATGGCCAACCTGTGGCCCTCGTCGTGAGTGCTGGGTGCCATGGGTGGCCCTGCTGGGTGGTGGGTGCTGGGTGGCAGGTGGCGTAGAAGGGGTAATGGAGGGGCGCTGGGACAAAGGGGGATCTACATGGCGCTATGAACATTGAACCCCGAGATGAGCATTTGCCCTGCTCGGGTCGGGCCGGCCGACCTGACCCGAAGTTTAGCCCGGGTCGGGGCAGTGGTTTCATTTGCATGCCCCATGCGGGCCGACCCGACCCGACCCGAGCAAAAACCCGACCCGAGCATGGAACTCGGGCCGAGCCGGGTCGGGTTTCGGGTCAAGCTTGACCCGACCCAAATTCGGGTCAAGACCAGGGAAATTGGGTCGGGCTTTCGGCCCAACCCGATTTCGGCAGAGGGCACACCACCCTAGTTCAAATTGTGATCAAGGGATTTTTTATCCCCTCAACATCAGAACCTACCCACTCTCTCAATCTTGCATAACGGTAGCAACCAAGTCACCTAAGCTTAGAAACTACTTGATTAGGGCCCGTTCAAACCTCATTGACAGACCATTTATAGCTAGTTTACTATTGTATCCTGCTGTTCACGGAAAATCGCGATGCAGGAATGGCCTTTTTTTACAACTTCGCGTTTTTACACCCCTGCTCCCTCTAATGGGCGGGTCAGACTGGCCCGACCCACCCGACCCGTGACCGGGTCCAAGCTGACCCGAGTGTGTAGGCCTGGGTCGGGCCAGAACTTTCAGGAACCTGGCCTGAGCCTGGCCCGACCCGACCCGACCCGAGAGCCCGTGTAGCCCGGCCAGGTCGGGTCGGGTCGGGTCGGGTCGGGTCGGGTCGGGTCGGGTCGGGTCGGGTCGGGCCATTTGCTCATCTCCCGCTCCCTGCGCTCTCATTGCTTTTTCTCCTTTGCGAGTTCAACGACTCACCATCTCAACCATTCTTCTTCCCACTTCCTTTCCACGTTTTCCTACCCTCCCTCTTCACCAATCACACCCAACCCAACCCTACCATGAATCGTGAATCATCCGCCAGGTGGCAGACTCGTATCGCCATGCACAGGAGGGCGCACGCAAGGTGCAGTGCTCCTACCACCCCTTTCCTCTGCCTGCCGCTATGCAGCCAGCAGCAGTAGCAGGAGCAGCATCAGCAGCAGAAGAATCATCACCAACAGCAACAGCAGCAGGATCAGCAGAGGAAGCTGTATCAATAGATGCATCCAGTGCATGCCGGGGCAGGCAGGGTCCCCTTGTGACAATAGAGCAGGCGGAGGCAGAGGGGGCCTTCCTCCCTCTCCACCCCGCCTTCCTCAACTGCCTGCCTCGTCGAGGAAACTTCCAGGAAGCCTTCGACAAGAGCCCGTTGAAGATCAGCGGAGAGGTGAGGATGGCACGGCTCATGTGGTGAGGATGGCATGGCTCATGTGGTGAGGATGGCATGTGGCTCATGTGGTGAGGATGGCATGTGGCTCATGTGGTGAGAATGGCATGGCTCATGTGGTGAGGATGGCATGTGGCTCATGCGGTGAGGATGGCATGTGGCTCATGCGGTGAGGATGTCATGTGGCTCATGCGGTGAGGATGGCATGTGGCTCATGTGGTGAGGATGGCCTGTGGCTCATGTGGTGAGGATGGCATGGCTCATGCGGTGAGGATGGCATGGCTCATGCGGTGAGGATGGCATGTGGCTCATGTGGTGAGGATTGCATGTGGCTCATGTGGTGAGGATGGCATGTGGCTCATGCGGTGAGGATGGCATGGCTCATGCGGTGAGGATGGCATGTGGCTCATGTGGTGAGGATGGCATGTGGCTCATGCAGTGAGGATGGCATGGCTCATGCGGTGAGGATGGCATGTGGCTCATGTGGTGAGGATGGCATGTGGCTCATGTGGTGAGGATGGCATGCGGCTCATGCGGTGAGGATGACATGGCTCATGCGGTGAGGATGGCATGTGGCTCATGCTGTGAGGATGGCATGTGGCTCATGCGGTGAGGATGGCATGGCTCATGTGGTGAGGATGGCATGGCTCATGTGGTGAGATGGCATGTGGCTCATGCGGTGAGGATGGCATGGCTGATGCGGTGAGGATGGCATGTGGCTCATGTGGTGAGGACGGCATGGCTCATGTGGTGAGGATGGCATGTGACTCATGCGGTGAGGATGGCATGTGGCTCATGTGGTGAGGATGGCATGGCTCATGCGGTGAGGATGGCATGTGGCTCATGTGGTGAGGATGGCATGGCTCATGCGGTGAGGATGGCATGGCTCATGCGGTGAGGATGGCATGTGGCTCATGTGGTGAGGATTGCATGTGGCTCATGTGGTGAGGATGGCATGTGGCTCATGCGGTGAGGATGGCATGGCTCATGCGGTGAGGATGGCATGTGGCTCATGCGGTGAGGATGGCATGTGGCTCATGCAGTGAGGATGGCATGGCTCATGCGGTGAGGATGGCATGTGGCTCATGTGGTGAGGATGGCATGTGGCTCATGTGGTGAGGATGGCATGCGGCTCATGCGGTGAGGATGACATGGCTCATGCGGTGAGGATGGCATGTGGCTCATGCTGTGAGGATGGCATATGGCTCATGCGGTGAGGATGGCATGGCTCATGTGGTGAGGATGGCATGGCTCATATGGTGAGATGGCATGTGGCTCATGCGGTGAGGATGGCATGGCTGATGCGGTGAGGATGGCATGTGGCTCATGTGGTGAGGACGGCATGGCTCATGTGGTGAGGATGGCATGTGACTCATGCGGTGAGGATGGCATGTGGCTCATGTGGTGAGGATGGCATGGCTCATGCGGTGAGGATGGCATGGCTCATGTGGTGAATATGGCATGTGGCTCATGTGGTGAGGATGGCATGTGGCTCATGCGGTGAGGATGGCATGGCTCATGTGGTGAGGATGGCATGTGGCTCATGCGGTGAGGATGGCATGTGGCTCATGTGGTGAGGATGGCATGTGGCTCATGCGGTGAGGATGGCATGTGGCTCATGCGGTGAGGATGGCATGTGGCTCATGTGGTGAGGATGGCATGTGGCTCATGCGATGAGGATGGCATGGCCCATCCTCCCCTACCTTTCGCTCCCCTCCCCTCCCCTCCCTTCTTCCCCCCTCCACTTCCCTTCGCCCCACCCATCCCACCCCCCCACACCCCCCATGCGCCCCAGATGTGGTCAGGCTCACAACAGCACTTCTACTTGGAGCCGTAAGCTGCAATGGCAGTACCGGACGAGGGGGGCAGCATGACGGTGCCCCATCTCACCCCCTCAACCCCCCCACCCCCCCCCCCCACCCCCCCCCCCCCCTTCCGTCCACCCGCCTCCAGGTGCGGTCAGGCTCACAACAGCACTTCGACTTGGAGCCGCAAGCTGCACTGGCAGTACCAGACAAGGGGGGCAGCATGACGGTGCACAGTGCCACGCAGAGCCTCGAGCACACGCAGCAGGCCGTGGCCCTCGCCCTGGGGCTGCCCCTCTCCTGCGTGCGCGTCGTCACCCGCTGCCTTGGCGGCGCGTTCGGTGGCAAGTCCATTCAGGCCAGCCTTGTTAGTGTGATGGGGAGTGGGGTGGGGCTGGGATGGGGATGGGGAGCGGGTGGGGATGGAAAAGGGATGGGGATGGGGAGTGGGTGGGGATGGAAAAGGGATGGGGATGGGGAGTGGGTGGGGATGGAAAAGGGATGGGGATGGGGAGGGGATGGGTGTGGGGATGGGCTTGTGATGTGAGGTGACGGAAAGGGGTTGGTGTAGGGGGGTTCGTATGAAGATTGAGGGGGGTTTCAGTGGGAACTCAGAGGGGATTGGCATGGGTGCTGGATGAGATATGAGGGGTTGTTCCTGAATGAAGGCACGACTTGCAAATGCTGGTTCTGGCAGAAATCTCTCCTGCTATCAGGCACACACACAGACATTCCACTCGCCCCTCTCCCCGTGCCTACTGTTCCCACGTTCTTTCCTCTTCCTACTCCGCTTTGCTAACCACTCAATCCCTTCCCCTACCAATCCTCCCCCACCATCTCCCCCTCCCCCGCCCCTCCCCCTTCTTTACCATCAGGTGGCGGTGGCGTGTGCGCTGGCAGCGCAGCGACTGCAGCGCCCCGTGCGCATGGCCTTAGACCGCAAGGTGGACACAGCCTTAGTGGGCGGGTGGCACGAGGCGCGTGCCCGGTACAACGTGGGGTTTGACGGCACGGGGCGCGTGCATGCACTGCGCGTGCGGGCGGTGCTGAACGGCGGCAGCAGTGCCAGCACGAGCTGCTGGCTGGCAGCCAACTACGGGCCCGCGCTGGCGCAGTACGCATGGGGGGCACTGGAGATCGACTTCAAAGTGGTCAGGTGCGGTGGTGGGGGAGGGTGTGGTGGAGATGGGAGGATGGGGGGTTGTGTGGAAGAGGCGAAGGGAGGGGGTGGCGATAGGAGGGATTGGGAGGAGATGGGTGGGAGGCTGAGGTTTGTTGGTGAAAGTGGAGGTTGAGGAATGGGTGGGTTTTAGCTTGATGCCAAGGACGAGGATTGATCACAAACTCCTGTATTACTCTGAGATGGCCGCGCATTGCTCACTCCATTGTCAATATATGTCCTTCATTCCATTGCCACTTGCACTGTCATCTCCCTCGCTGTCATCCCCATGCCTCCCCTGCCCTAGCTCCCACCTTCTCTCTCGTTTCCTCTTCTCTCCTCTCTCCCTCATAATTACACCACGTTTTGTCCGTTTTGTCATATGAGTGCATTAAGCCTTTCATGCTTTTCCGCACTCTCCCTACCTGCCCTTGCCGCCCTTCACGATGGATCTGCCCACGTGCAGCACAGTGAGGGCGCCAGGCGAGGTGCAGGCCGTGCCGTGCTAGTGGTGGAGAGCGTCTTGGAGCGGGCAGCCACCTCTCGTGCCGTGCTCTCCCTCACCTCACCCCCCCTCCCTCACCGCACTTCCCCGCCTCTGCCGACGTTCAGGACGGATCTACCGACGCGCAGCCCAGTGAGGGCGCAAGGCGAGGTGCAGGCAGTGGTGGTGGCAGAGAGTGTGATGGACCACGTCGCTGCTGCCCTGGGGCTGCCCCCCCTGCTCGTGCGTGAACATAACCTTATCACCACCCACGCTCTCCGTGACTTCTTCCCCTCCGCCTTCCCTGCTCCTCCTGCTGCTGCCAATCCTGCTGCTCCTGCTGCTCCTGCCACTCCTGCTGCAGTAGAGGGGGAGGAAAACGAGGACGGGGATGAGGATGAGGGAGCGATAGCACAGCGAGTGTGGAGGGAGGCGAAGGCCCTTGCGAGCTACACCGAGCTTGCAGCAGCGGTAGAGGCATTCAACCGGCACACGTGTGGTGCAAGCGGGGCCTGGCCATAGCGCCCTCACTCTACCACGTGCCGCTGCTCGCCAAGCCTGCATGCGTGACGGTGTTTGGTGACGGGTCGGTGGTGGTGGAGGCGGGCGGCGTGGAGATGGGGCATGGGCTCTCCACCAAGCTGCGCCAGGCGGCTGCCCTTGGCCTCAACGCCCTCTGGACCACCACTGCTACCGGCACAGCAGATGCTGGTATCAGCAGTAACAGCCGAAGTGGGAGCGGGACTGGCAGCGGCAACTGCAGCAGCAGAGGCAGCAGTGGTGGTGGCAGCGGAAGCAGCAGCAACGTATCGGAACCGTGGGGGGGGGGGGGGGGTGGCGAATCAGAGTGGTGGAGAACGACAGCCTGTCAATGGGCAATGCGGGAATGACGGCTGCCAGCTCCTCCTCTGAAGCCTCCTGTGCCGCCGTGCTGCTCGCCTGCCACCACCTGCTGCCCATGCTGCTCACCGCCAAGGCTGCAGCCGAGCAGGCCAAGGCATGCCGGCGGGTGAAGCGGGATAGCGGACTTATTAAGGGGAGTCACGAATAGGAGAAGATGACGTGGCGGTGGAGGAGGGTGACGTGGCGAGGTGGGAAGAGGTGGCAGCGCAGGCCAAGGCCATGGAGCTCACGCTCTCAGCGCAGGTGCACTTTCAGCCCGACCCCTCGCACACCTCCTACTTCACCTTTGGTGCCGCCGTCTCAGAGGTACTCCTCAATCCTGTGTGTGGCTGGCTGCTGGTGAGTGAAGAACCAATGCATGCATGCACATTGTTCCGCCTCTGCCATGCTTCCCTTCTGCGCAGTCTATGCCAATCTTATGCTCATCTTTGTATTTCCGTTCGTCTGCCTCACCCTGCTCGTGTGAAAATAATTGGAATGAATGATTTTACTAGAAAGTGAAGCAAGCATACATAGTTGGGAAGAGAAGGTTAGGAGGGAAAGGGAGACAGGTGGAACTTGGGGGAGTGGGCCAACCTATGGCCCATTGAGTTGGGTTGTCCTCACTTGGGAAAGTGGGGCAACATGTGACCCAGTAGGTTGGGTTAACCCCTCTTTGGGAAGTGGGACAACCAATGGCCCATTGGGTTGGGTTGACCATGTTTGGAGAAGTGGGGCAACCTATGGCCCATTGGGTTGGGTTGTCCTAACTTTGGGGAGTGAGAGAACCTATGGTCCAGTGGGTTGCAATTGGGGGCTCCACCACAATTGGGTTGGATTGGCACCTCAACTTGGAAGGCTACACTCAATGTTGGGTGTAGTCTCAACCCAACTATACACCACATTTGGTGTACAGGCATACATAAGACTTAGCATGCTACAATGTAATTCTAACACAAGCCCTTAGCATGCTAAGACAAGAAGGGGACAACCCCTGAATCAAGGGGCGCCCGGGCGAGCAAGGCCAATGAGGCGTAGCAGAGCAGAGTGCGCAGGGCGAAGTAGAGCCTTGGTGAAGATGTCGGCTGGATTGGTCTCGGCCGTAATCTTCCGAACGGCAAGAAGGCCCTGTTGAACGAGCTCGCGGATGAAAAACTAGCGCAGTTCGATATGCTTGAAGCGGGCGTGGTAGACAGGACCCTAAGTGAGATGGATGGTGCTCGCGGTGTCACCAGAGGGTGGGGCAGGAGCAGTCACAATTGTGTTAGCATGCTACAACATATTTCTAACATAACGTGCAATGGTGTGGCAGGTGGAGGTGGACGTGCTGACAGGGGCAGTGGCAATGCTGCATGCTGACATACACTGTGACTGTGCGCGCAGCCTCAACCCGGCTGTCGACATTGGACAGGTAGGCGCGTGTGCACGCCACGCCACATGCATGCATCCACAAGTACCTCTCCATCCTTTCACTTCCTGGACGTTCCCCAGAAATCGTGTTTCTTATCACAGTTTTTGATCGCTTAGCGTGTTTCGAAACGTGTTTGCGTGTGTGCGCGCCCACCGACCATGTTTTACCCCTCCCTCATCTCCCTCTCCCTCTCCCTCTCCCTCTCCCTCTCCCTCTCTCCCTCTTCTTCTCCTTCTCCCTCTTCCTCTCCTTCTCCCTCTCCCTCTCCCTCTCCCTCTCCCTCTCCCTCTCCCTCCCCCTGTTCCTCTTCCTCTCCATCCCCCTCCCTCTCGCATGCGTGAAGTGGAGGGGGCGTTCGTGCAGGGGCAGGGCTACTTCATTTTGGAAGAGGTGCAGTTTGTTCCGTTGTCTCCCTCGCGCTCGCGCTCGCCCTCTTTCCCTCTTGCCCATACCCTCGCCAGGTGGAGGGGGCATTCGTGCAGGGGCAGGAATTCTTCACCACGGAAGAGGTGCTGGTGGACGAAGCTACCGGGAAGCTGCTCTCAGACGGCACGTGGGCGTACAAGGTGCCATCATTCGACACCGTGCCCCGTCAGCTCAACGTCTCCCTCCTGCATGGGACAGGCAACAAGCAAGGCGTGCTCTCCTCCAAATGTGACCCTCACCTCCTCCCTCCTCTCACCCACTCCCTATGCTCTTCACCCTCACGCTTCTGATTCTCCCTTGTTTGCTCCTCTCTGCCTCGCTCCTTTACCTGCCCCCACGTTACTGCATAGCATGGGGTTCCAAGCCAGGGCACATCAAATAGTCATCCGTAGCATTGTACTTGTGAGGGCCCTGGGTACCACAACACCGCAAGCAACACACAGGAGGGGGCACAGGTCTCCACCCATCACTCACCCACCACATCATGGTCCTCATCTAACTCCCTTCTCCCATCTGTCACGTTCCCCCATTTTTCCCCCCTTCTGCCCTCATCAGCATCTGGCGAGCCCCCGCTGCTGCTCGCTGTCTCCATCCACTCTGCCATCCGCCACGCCATTGCCGCTGCTCGCCACCAGTTGGCCCACCCAAGCACGCAAGCAGGAAGTGCAACTGGCGGGGTCCGGGGCGAGTTTGTGTGGCTGGACTCGCCCGCCACCATGCCTGTGGTGCATCGTGCGTGTGGGTCGCACCTGGTGGAGGCTTATCTGGAGAAGCAGCTCGCTGCGTCTGCTGCTGCTGTTATTGATGCTGCTGACGGCGCTGGTGCTAAAATCAGTGAAGCTGGTGCTTTTCGGGATACTTAGGTCAGCAGTTGGACTTGCCTGCTTTGTGTGACTGGTGTTGTGAACAATCCATACATACCGATGAATATATAGTCGGCATTGATTTAGCCTGATTTTCCAACACCGCCAATTAACCAGATTATTGTCAAGAATGGAATGGTGATTTGAATAAGGTTGGTTGGGGTACATAAACCTAACCCTAACTGTTGTACCCCATATGACACACATCACTAAGACTATACCATCTGACACACCCCAATAGCCTAAGTGAGGGGTGTCGAGCAAAACCAACAACGTACGGTCACAAGACCAGTCACAAAGCAACAAAGCTCAGGGTGGATCACAATGTCACCACACACTCTGAGCACAAGCAAAAGAGCCACAATGCCAGTTCAAGAGTTCACAGAGGTATATATAAAGCGTACAAACAGAGCAAGCAGAGAACTCAAGACTACGTAAGGTGAGAACATGTGTCAACGAGACCTAACTGCACACAACACCTTTGGTGGTCACAAGGCGGAAGGGCCTTGGTGAAGATGTCTGCAATGTTGGCCTCGGACTCCACAAAGTCTAAGTGAGCCTGTCCAAGCCTCTGCAACTCTCGCAGAAGAAAGTACCTGACATTGATGTGCTTCACTTTACTCTCCGGTCGAAGCTCTCGACAGAGGAGAATCAACGCCTTGTTGTCATTGAACAAGGTCGGTGCAGAGCTCGGCCGCTCACCAAGGTTGGTGAGCAAGAAAGTCAACCAACGCAGCTCCTGTGCAGCCATGGCTCCAGCGTAGATCTCAGCTTCAGCGGTAGAGGTCGAGACCGAGGAGGAACGCGTGGACCTCCACGAAACAGCTCCAGAGCCCAGGCTGAAACAGTACCCCTGAGTAGACCTGTGAGTCTCGGCGTCGTCAGCATAAGAAGCGTCACGCTGTCCAGTAAGTATGACAAACTGTCTCCCTCCAAGAACCAGCCCCACACCTGATGTCGTCGCTAGGTACTTCGCCACCCTCACAGCAGTTGTCCAGTGAACTGGACGGTGTCTTCCTGGCGCAACAAAGCGAGCAAGGATGCTGAGAGGGAACGCGAGGTCCGGGCGAGTACAAGTCATCAGGTACATGAGGCAGCCCACAAGCTCTGCGTAGGGACCACTAGGCTCAAACGGCTTGTCAAGAAAGGGTCCGATGAGTCTGTGGTCAACGGCAAGAGGTGTGCGCTGTACAGTAGAGTGCTGAAGCTCAAACCGCTGAATGGCCTGCTGCACCATGTGTGACGGTGAGAGTGTAATGGTGCGAGCGGCTCTGTCCCTGGTGATCTGCAGGCCAAGGTAGTGGCGCAGCTCACCAAGGTCAGTGCACGTGTGTCTCTTGTGCAGTTCGTGCTTCACGTCAGCCAAAGCAACCTTGTCAGCAGTGGCGAAAACCAGGTCGTCGACGTAGACCAGTACAAAGAACGGTGTGGAGCCACGACGAACAAATAGCGACGGGTCGGCAGAAGACTGCTGGAAACCGAGGTTAGACAAGGTAGAACGAAGGGTGTCGTGCCACTCACGAGGAGCCTGACGGAGACCGTAGACCGGTCGCCTCAGCCTCCACTGGGTACCAGGAGAGAAAGTGCCAGTGAAGGCAGAGGGACGACTCAACCAGACCTCCTCGTGTAGGCTACCCTGAAGGAAGGCAGTGGAGAAGTCGAAAGAGTGTAGCTCGTAGTCTCTCTGTGCTGCTACGTGCAGTAATACCCGAAGAGTGGTTATCTTCGGGGTAGGCACGAAGGTCTGAAAGAAGTCAACTCCCTCGTGTCGACTGAAACCTCTAGCCACATAGCGCGCCTTGAAGACCGGAGGAGATCCCGGTGGTCGCTTCACCCTGAAGATCCAAATGCCATCGACTACGTTTGCCCCCGCGGGGGAACCTCGTCAACGTAGGTGCCTGTGGACTCGTAGGAGGCCATCTCTGAGTCCATGACAGCTCTCCACTGAGAGGCCCAAGGCTATGACACTGCCTCAGTGTAAGTGCGAGGAGAAGGTATGTCAAGGGCGTCGGGGTCTCCCTCAGGGGCGAGCAGCATGGCACAGAGATGAGGGGAAGCGGCTGCCAGGAACTCTAGCTCAAACTGCCTGTCTTCTAGGGCGTCACAGCCAAGGGCAGAATCACCCCCGACGGCCCGAGGACTGGTAGGAGGAGCAGCCACAAGACTAGTGGCGTAGTCAAGGCGGCGAGTAGAGGCAAACTCAGTGACTGAGGCAGTAAGAGCGGAGACAGAGGACGGAGAGGCACGAGGGTCCGTAACAATAGAGGCGAGAACACGAGAGAGAACAGGTCGTTACGTGCAGTAGTAGTCAGTGACAGGAGTAGAGAGGGAAGCATTGAGGGCAGACTCAGAGGAGAAGGAAGCACAGGTGGAGTCAAACGAGGCGGAATAGGACGGAACAGGACAGTATGAAGGTCAGTGTCAGGGACAGGGGACGAGGGACGAGCACGAGGAGAGCGAGAAGTCCAAGCGTGAGAAAGAGGAGGGGACAACGGAGGCTGAGAACGAGGGAAAACAGCTGGGGTGGGGTTAGGAGGAGGAAACATGGGACCGTAGACAGGAGGAGGGGGAGAGGGGGGAGGAGAGGGAGAAGGGAGACCAAGGGCCCGAAGGCCAGAGACAGGAGGCGGAGGTGGCGGCTGCTGCGGCGGCGGCTGCGGCTGCTGCTCCTGCTGCGGTGGCTGCTGCTGCTGCTCCTGCTGTGGCGGCTGCTGCTGCTGCTCTTGCTGCGGCGGCTGCGGCTCCTCCAGCTGCGGCTGCAGCTGCTCCAACTGCTCCTGCAGCTGCGGCTGCTGCGCCTGCTGCTGCTGCTTCTGCCGCTCCTCCAGCTGCTGCCGCTCCAACTCTAGCCCCTCTCACTCCAAATCCAGCTGCTCCTCACGTGCACGGCAAAGACGGGTCTGTTTCCGGGTCGGGTAGGGGTGGGGGGGAGGAGTAGTGCCCGGGGCGGTGGTAGCCCCAGGACTTCTCTCCAAAGCACCAGTCACACCACCCCTAGAGCCAGCACCACCAGCAGCAATGTGGCCAGTCCCAGACTCTCCAGGTCCAATAGAGGGCGCACCCGCACCCCCAGTCGTAGCACCCCCAGGGACAGCTCGACTAATACTAGCTACCCGAAGACTAGAACCTCCTGCAGACACGGGGTCAGCTCCAACTCCAGCACCCCCAGCACCAGCGCCTCGTGCAGGCACAATCTCAGCTCCATCTCCAACACCTCCAGAGGTAGCACCCCCAAGGTCCTCAACACGAGCACCTGCTCCCGCAGGGTCTGCAGCAGGCTGAGAGGAGGACTGTGGGGAAGGGGACGGCACCTGAGGGGCTAACAAGAGGGGGGGGGGGGGGTAGCGTGTGACACACTTGATGGGGCTGGACCAGGGGGGGGGGGCTGTGTCGGAAGGGCAGGTGGGGGAGCGGGAGTCAGGAAGAGAGGGGGGAGGAGGAACCGGGAGACCTCGACAGGGGTACCGGGTGTAGTAGGGGATTGACTTGACAAAACAAACGTTGTGGGAGTCAAAGAACCGGTGAAGGGGAGGGTGGTAAAAGGTGAAGTCAAAGGAGTCCTCGGGGAAACCAAGGAAGACACAAGAAAGGGCGCGAGGGGAGAGCTTGTCCGCCGAGGCGTCACGAACAAGCGCCAAGCAGCCCCAGACACAAAAAAACGACGCAGCACCAGGGGACCCAGTCCAAAGACTGGTCGGTGAAGCCTCTGGCGGAGAGACACGTGGCCAGAGGTTCAGGTGGTGAGCGGCGTACCGAACCACGTAGGGCCACAAAAAATGGGGGGCACAGGCGTGGATCATGGAGGTGCGTGCAATCTCCATGACCAAGCCTATGCGGTGCTCAGCAACCCAATTCTGCTGTGGGGACTCTGGAAACGTCCAGGACTGTCGGATGCCCTGCTCGCGACAATATCCAGCAAGAATGCCGGAGCGAAACTCACCCCCGCGGTCAGAGTAAAGATAGCTGACACGATGGCCACGAGAGTCCGCAGTGGTAAGCAACCACCGGATCAGCGTAGAAGTCACCTCGGACTTCTTCGCCAAAGGAAATACGGTGGTATAGCGAGAGTAGTCATCAACGACCACCAGAAAGAAACTCTTTCGCTCAGGGCCAGGGCGAGGGGCGGGGCCCCAGACGTCCAAGTGGAGAGTCTCAAAGAGCTCAGTGGCCAGACGAAGGGATGAGGAGTGAGGGGTGGCGCGCAGCCGACCCTCGATGCAAGGGGTGCAAGGTGGTGCAAACAAAGGCGGCAGCGACGGCAAGACTCGCGGGAGGCCAAAGACGAGACGCTGACAATGTCAGAAAACCAACACTGGGGATGCTCGATTGATCCTAGGGAAGGGTTACTGGCTCGTTGTCCTGGGGGGTTATGGGCGCACTGACTCGCTACTTAAAAAGCCCTTTTATCCCAGTGGTCTAGTGACTGGGATTCTGACAAGCTAGACATAGTGCGTAGGCGAGGAATGGACGAGTGACCAAGGCGGTGGTGGTACAGAACAGTGGGGTGGGCAAGCAACTGATACGAACAAGATGCAGCAACCGGACTAGACGCTGGAACCAGACCAGAAAAAGCTACCTAGTGGGAGGCGGCAACCTGGTGAGACACGGGGACCTGACAGGGGGCAGTGACAGGGGTCGGAGGCAGCTGTTGCTGCTGTTGCTGCTGCTGCTGCCGCCTCTCTCGAGGGCCAGTGCAAAGTGTGTAGAGACCAGAGCCTGGCTCAGTGTGAAAGGTGGCCAGAGGCGCGTACGTGTCACTGTCTACACAGACCACAGTCTCCCTAGAAGGCTCAATCAAAACACCCACGGAGGCCCATGAAACCGCCTAAGCAGAATCTGATATCTTCGAACCGCCTCTGTTCAAAACGCCTTCACGATCAGCTCCAATAACATACGATGCTGAAACTTGGATAGACATTAGCTTCAGGTGTCTGCTTTCCAACTGTATATTGCTTGATTTTATCAGAGGTGTATGCGCTATGCAGTGAACGAAAACGTAA